CTTAGATATTTTATTTTGCAGAATCTATATAATTTCTAGCAAGTTCATCTCAAATTTCATCCAATTTTGTCACATTTTATTAATGTAATAATAGAAACTATTTAAATGTGTAATTGACACACTTAGGCATTTGGGATTTAATAAAGACCTAAATCTTAGGGATGCTACCTGTTGCCCAACTGTGTTTATATTCTTATGTCATATCCAGGTAAAGCTGAATTAGATTTAGAGCAATAGATAGGTCCACAGAATAACAAGAGGTTCAATTAGGATATTTATTATGGAATATTACTAAGTCTTTGAGTAACTGAGTTGTGAGAATTAATAACGAGATTGAACACAAAATGGAAAATCTTTATTGTAATCACACTTAATATAAAAACAGTGTGTGTACTTACATTTACTGAATGATGGACTTCCAGTTTTACTAGCTCTTCCTTCATACTGCTTAAACTTCAAGAATTTATACTAGACTGACTAAATCCAACACACCTTACTCTGCAAGAAATGATGTAGAGCATACACTGTATCTTACCATATCACCCTATAATTCAGAAAGCAGGGGTTGCAATACCCGTTCAGCTGAGTTTTCAAAGTCCTAGCTATCATCTATGGTTGTATGAACTGGTAATGCACTAGGCATTACATATACTGCCATCTTAGTTTCATGATAATCAAGTGGAAGTCACATTGTGTAATGCATACATTGTATGGTGAAAATTAATTGATAGCTTGTAAAGCAATGATTGCCACTTCCTTTAAGCCATTAGTTTCTTACAAAATAACTGTTTTAGTTCTTGATGATTGGGTTTAATCCCAGTCATACTGATTCTTAGATTGTTGTTATCAGTTTTGTGGACTGATGGAGCTGTGTCTTACCTCTAGATCTGGCCAGATGACTGTTGTAGCTCTTGTTGATTGGGTTTAATCCCAGCCATCCTGATTCTTAAGTCATTGTTATCAGTTCTGCTGCTGTCACATACTAAAGCCACATCCACTGTTCACTTTGATACATTTGAATCTTCACTACTTATCATAGCACCTCTTCTGTCATATGGTGGCCTTGTAGACATTGTGGGATGTCTGTTATAAGTGAAGAACCCTACATCTTGTCTACAGAGAGTTAAACTTCTTGGGCAAACATAATACGCTACATTTGGCATATTATTAGATTTGAGGGTAAAATTGAATTGAATATATGCACGCCCCATGCTTGGTATTGCTGGTGCAGAAAAATACGGCTTATAAAAAGGAAACAAGTATGATAAAAAAAAAATTTTTTATAAAGACAAGTAAAGATCGATATATACATAGCCGAGCTAGCTCAAAATTTAAAATTTTTTATCCCTACTTTCACAAATCCCTGTAATTATGTTAGTTTGAGCCAAAGTAGGGATAAGATTTTTAAATCTCAAGTAACTCAGTTCTTGTGGTTTTGACTTTATATATATTG